ATCATCTCTTTATCACCCTCTTCGAGCTTGAAACTCCAGGCACAGTAGACCAGACCCACAACCACTATACGCGGCTTCTGATACTTTTTTTGCTTTAAAGTGATTAAAATGAAATCTGTTCTGTGGATTATGCCTTGAAGAAGGCAATCCCTAAGAGTTGGATTGAAACCTTCTGGTGTTTGTATTTTTGCTGTTTACTTCACTGGAATAATATGAGTTATTCAGTTCCGTGAGGTTCAAACATTGTTCCAGGGAGAACCATTCAACCTTATATATTGCTTGAATTATTCTTCTTTCGAGCTTTAACTTCCTTGCTTTATTCTTTTTTATTTATTTATTTGAATTTGTAGGTATCATTACAATGTAGCAGACACTAGACTGCGTCAGCGTGTAGACAAGGGTAATGAGGATGGGTTGTTTATTAGCTGTGTGGCTTCTTCATGTAATCTCTGGGCCTTGATCATGGATGCGGGAACTGGTTTCACTTCAGAGGTTTTTGAATTATCAGCATTCTTCCTTCACAAGGTTGCTGTTCCCAAGTGCTCTTTGCTATCATTTTTATAATGGAATTAATGCACCGCTCAAGTCTCAACTTATTTATTAACTTTACTATTTCTCATCAGGACTGGATTATGGAACAGTGGGAAAAGAATTACTACATCAGTTCAATAGCTGGTGCTAATAATGGGAGTTCATTGGTTGCTATGTCAAAAGGTTGGTATTATCTGTGCTAAAATAGAACCCTATTGCCCTGTATAAATTAATAATCAATGTGTGTGTGAGAGAGAGAACCTTTGCCAGCTTAATAGACATCGCAGAGTATGTCTCCCCCTAGATTAGCCATTGTGATTACGCCTCTATTTTCATTTACAAAGACCAGCCAGTATATTCAGCCAAAAAAAAGTGACAGGGTTGAGGTTTTGTAGCATAGTTGCTGAAACTACAAGGATAGTTTTTCCCGTAATTTGAGTTTTTTTTTTCTTTCTTTTATTTTTATTTAACAGTTTTAGGACTAAATCAAATGGATCACAACTAATTGCTAGTTTCATAAAATACTGTAACTTGGCAGGAACTCCTTACACCCAGCAGTCCTACAAAAGTGAGTGAGTCATTTCCTTTCAAGTGGATAAATAAGAAGTGCAAAGAGGGCTTTCATATAACATCCGTGACAACTGCAGGAAGTCGCTGGGGTGTGGTAATGTCCAGGAACCCTGGATTTTCTGAGCAGGTGCTTACTTCTTCTTGTTTTTAACTCTTCCTCCATTGCTTTTACTGTTCTCGCTTTTCCTGTTGGTTTGGTTTTTAAGTATTCCCTTCCTTAAGTAACTAGCTAAAATTTGCTTTCTTATTTTGTTGCTGCAAGGTTGTGGAGCTTGACTTTCTGTACCCAAGTGAAGGAATACATCACCGATGGGAGAGTGGCTACAGAATAACATCAATGGCAGCTATTGCAGATCAAGCTGCCATCATCCTCGGAAGAAGAGAACTTAAGCATTAGTTCCAGGAAACCTCAAACTGAATCTCCCTGCTCAGCTGCAGGAATTGGGCTAACCTGTTGGATTCTCAAATGCAGCTGCAATGGTGTGTTTTCAGGTTATGTATGGTGTCGGTATGACACGGTTGGGAAGATGGCACGAAAAAATTCTTTTGTGCTAATAGAGGACTGGGATATCAGAGGTTCTTCGTCACCCCAGCTGACATCATAAGATTTTTTAATGTCATCTCGGAGATTTTTTTATGCTGTGTCAAAAGGGAACTTCTCGTGCTGCGTTAGAGGTTTCATGTTGAGGTGTCCTTGTCTGTTGAAGAGGGGTCGTCTTTCAATTGACTGGGATACCACGTGAAAGTCTTTGATGTGATGTATCCATTGCATTAAGGTCTTTTTAGGGGAAAACACTAACCAGCAAGGCAAAATATACGAAGTATGCAAGTTAGAGCCTGTTTGGTGCAGCTCCTCGGAGCTTCAGCTTTTGGATACTATTCATGTCTCATGAATTTAAATTTTCTTCTTAAAAATTTACACTTTTAAATATTTTTTTAACCTCAAAAAGCTCTTAAACAGTAAAAGTTTAAAAGTTTCAAATCTAAATTTTTCATAAACTCCCTTTTTACTTATTTTTCACTCCCTTTTTCACCTTTCTAAAAGTTAAAATTTTATTTTTCCTCCAATAAAAATTTAAACTTATCACTCATAACAGTACTCAAAAAGCTAAAACTCTCACAAGTTACACCAAACAGGCCCTTAATGCTTTTATGTTTGTTTATGGAGCTTTTTTCTTCTTTTTTTTTTTTTTTATTTGAACAAGGTTACAAATATGGGGGAGGGAGGATTCGAACTCCAGCCCTCGAGTTGGGAGGATGCACCTTACAAACCGATTTATGGCCGTTGGGCCGTGAGGCCCAAGTGCGTTTACGGAGCTTTGATAGACTGAACGACTAAGAAAGACAAAGCCCACCAAGGTAACAGAAGCTCCCTCTCTCTTATTCAAAAGATCGAACACTTGGGCTGCAAGGATAGCCCAGAAACAAAGCAACAAAATTAACAAGCTAAACCTAATCGAGCCAATCTGGCATGCTCTTCTCTCTTAAAGTTTAATGAAGTTTCGTCCACTTTCATTTCATCAACTAAGCAATCTATTTGTTCGAATCCCTATAACGCCAAGCAGTGAAGTCCCAATGTACAGAAAAAACAAAAACAAAGCAACGTATCTCGTTGAAAGGAACCATAAATTAAGAATTCAACACTCCCAAAGAAGATGAAAGGATCATAGGTGATATAGCTTCGTCTTTTCTGTGATGCCACATCAGAGGTTTCTTGTCGAGGTATGTTGTAAACATGCAGAGTAATGTTTTCCAGCTGATTGGGATACCATGTGAAAATATTTGATGTGATATATCCATTGCATTGCACTGCGTTGAAGACTTCAAATATGGCACAAGGGAATACACTAATCAACAGAACAAGTACACAAACGATGCAAGTTAAGGCCTTTTTTTTTGTTTACATAACTTCGATCAGACCAAAACAACTAGGAAAGACAAAGACCAACAAGGCAACAGAAGCCCTTTCTCACTTAGACAAAAGATCGAACACTTGAACTGCAATAACATAACAGAAACAGAACAACAAAATTAAGCAAACTATCCCGTACAGAGGAATCAGAAATTAAAAATTCAACGCTCCCAACGAAGATGAAAAGATTACAGGTGATAGCTTCATCTTTCCCCCATTCATTGATTCACCCATCCATCTAGGAGGAACTTGGCAGATCTAGCGCACAAGCAACATGAGCAACAAATTTGCAGTCTTCACAAACATAAGACCAATGCTCTGGATTCCTCTCCTTCCTACAAATATCACAAAAGTATTCTTCCCTAACATAATCCCCTTGAAATTGACTAGCGATGACGAGGTTGTGTCGGTGGGCTCTGTGCTTGAAAGATTCTGGTAAAAAGCAGCAACTCACATGAAGATTAAAGTTGCAATCGAAACATCTGTAGCTGATACACTGGCCAATTTCACTGCAACCACAGCATCCATACTCGTAACCATATGAGATTGGCATGATGATGAGATTCAAAGGGTGTGCATGCATCTTATGATGGAGAATGATGGGCAGGTATTTGCCTTTAATGTTGGTTTCGAGCAAGCAATCATGACAATTTTCAAGGTTGCGAACCTCACATTTCTCGCACTTCTGCTTCTCAGGAAATAGATAATAATCAGGCCGGTCCCTTCCACTAAGATTAGGAAGCTTCTTTCTCCGAAGATACTCTAAATCGTTTGTTTTCCGAAGATACTCGGAATCCTTTACAGACTCAGCGCAGTTTTTATGGAAGCTGTACTCATCACATTCAACACATTGATAGCTAGGCCCTGATGAGATGCTAGGGTCTGGCAAGGTGCTAGGGTCTGGTAAGGTGCTAGGCCCTGGTGAGGTGCTAGGCTCTGACAAGGTCCTAGTTCTGCAGCTTTTGCAAACGAGTTTCTGTTCCTTCTTGGTATCCCTGAAGAAGAGAAACTCATGCAAGTGCCTCTCTTTTTCAGCTGGAAGAATTGCAGAAACCAGTTCCTCCAGGAAGAAGAGATTCATGGGATCAACAGTGAGTTTTCGAACACCACTAACCTCTGACTCTGTCGCCTGCTGTTTAACCTCTGACTCTGTCGCCTGCTGTTGATTCTCTTTGTCTTGTGGGGATCTGCACTGAATCAAGATCATGTTGTGACCGGACAGCTCCGACAATTGTTCCAAGTGGGTCTTGACCGTCTCGTTGATGAATGGGTAATTGAGGACAACTCCGATCTTCAGATTCACTTGGGTTGAGGCCATATCATGCAGAATTTTAAAGGACAAACCATTAAGGTCTTGGGATTTGGCAAAAGAATTTTCAAGAAATGGGTAGATATCATAGTAGTCAGCGAGGAAGTAATTGAAGTGATTGGCAAGTTCCGCAGCTACTCTACCTCTACTACTACTGCTGCTTTGATGGTGTTTCACTGCTATGACCATCGGAAGGTTTTGCCCTTCATTCTTCTGCTCTTCCATTTTCTTTACCCTATTTGACGCTTGACCCCAACCCAAAGACCCCAAATTATAGACTCAGATGGTGAAGGACATTAATTTGTTCCTTTACATAGATTTAGGTTAAAACCCCGATTCAGTCCCTCAACTTTCATTTTTGAACTAAAATTACCCTCAAACTTCAAAAAGTACTAAAAAAATCCTTGAACTTCAATTTTTGGAACCAATTTCGTCCTTCCGTCGACGGAAGTGCCAGATGGCACGTTAAGTTGCCACGAAATCAATTCT